ATTGCAGTCCGAGTCAGGTCTGAGTCAATCCAAAGGTATCATGCCCTTCCGCTGTATTTGTATCAACTCTGTATTATCTGGTCGGTTCTGGGAATCTGCTCCATACTTATGACTGTGTTTCACAAGTATGCAACAGTTTGGTATCGGAGCAGACCAGTATTGGATGACTCACCATTAATTGATTGATTGATTGATTGATTGATGGATTGATTGATTGATTGATTGATTGATTTATCTTTTCCTGCACTCTGTTATCATTAAGATCGCAAGTTGCAATTTTTTTTTCTTTTCGAGCATTTTTGTAGGATTAGGATGTTCAAATTTCGGTTTTGCGACTTTTCTCAATCCTGCGCAATTAGGAATTACCAATAACTGGTAAACCTAATTAGCACTAATTAGGGTTAGTCCTAATCGAAAATTTAGGTTTTGCGACTTTTTCCCGAATTACGCAGTTAGGAATTCCTAATTACGAGGTAAAACCTAATTAGCGCTAATTAGGGTTAGTCCTAACCTAATCTAAACGACCTACCTAACCTATCGAGAGTTAGTGCCAGCCAGGCACCGCGCCAAGCAAGGCTGATCGGGCCTGAGCTAGGCCATATGCGAACTGCAACTTCACGGAACTTTCACTTTTTACAACTGCATTTTTTGCAATCGAAAGATTGAATCTTTCCAGCGAATTGTGTATCTTCCTGCTAGCTATCATCTCTACTATCTGAAGTGACCTCGTGATGATGCTAAAACTGCCGACGAAATTTCGTAAAATTTTCAAAAGATATGTCTAAATGTTTAAACTTGCGTAAACTTATTCATTTCTTTAATAGATGCAAATCTAAAATATTTCGATTACATATTTAACCTTTGTGAATAAACAGTTGCAAAGTTAAATATTTCATTAATCAGGTATTAAATCTTTTTGCCAAATTAAATTTTATTAATTCCAATTTTTTCGATTAAAATTTTATTTAATTTTCCAAAATTCGAAAATTCGTTCGGGGGGGAAAATTTTTCCTTTGATTAGTACTAGACTTCGAGGTCCGGGGACACAGGGACTGTCTGTGCATTGTGTGCCTCTTTGCCCCTCCTCCCCACCCAACCTTCTCTTCTCCTCTTGTTCTACAAACTGCAGTCTCTGGACACGTCAGCAGAGGTGCCACATCAGCAGAGTGACAGGTCAGTACAGTGACACATCAGCAGAGGGACACGCAAGTGCCACATCAGCAGAGTGCCACGTCAGTACATTGCCACGTCAGCAGAGTGCCACGTCAACCGCAACGTGCAGCCGGACACTAAATGCGCCGCAGCCTACGATTGGCAGAACGCGAGTCCAAGGCAGCCAAGCCCCAACCGGGACCCAAGGCACCGTGAATCCCGCGCAAGCGACGCACGACCATGGCTGCCACCTCTGACAAGAGTGCACCAACCAGCCCCAAGAGGCCGGTTCCACCTCCTCTCCCAGTTCAGCAGGCCGATGAACCGCTCCTAGCGTTCCTAGACCGTCTCCAGAAGTATTCCGAGATGACGGCCGCTGAACAACGCAAGTGGGAAGAAGAGGAAGCCGCCCGACAGCAGGAGATTCAACGCCAGCTGGCAGAGGCAGAGGCAGCACGTCAGCAGGCCGCAGCAGAAGCTGCAGCAGCCGCACGGTTGCAACAGCAGCAGGTCGAGGCAGATCAGAACCAGGCTCGTTACCAAGCCACTATGGATCTGACTCGCGATGAAGCCACCTATGGCAGGCTACTTCGCCGACAGCATTTCCATGAAACCGACGAACGGCGAGAGCCAACCACGGAGGAAGCAGATAAAGAAGGAATAGCAGTTCTGATGGAGAATCTGCTGTACACATGCAATTGGCAGCAACGCGAACTGCTCGCCACGCGGCAGGTCCTCATCCGCCATGAAACAACACTCAAGGCAATGGATAACAGGATCACGTCGCTGCAGGCCGAGAACAGGACACTRCATGCCGCCAACAGCCAGCAGMAGACACTCAACCACCAGCTGCAGGCAGATGTCAGCAACGGGTTGGCACAGCTGTCMGCMGCTGCRTCAACGGGCARTGCAGCAGTCGACTGCAGCCCAGCTTTGACCGCACAGGCAAAGCAATTGGAAGAGCGGGTCAATCATTTAGTCGCATCCCTGGGCGACATCAGCAAGTTTGCCGGAGCCTCTACAGTCAGCAATCAGCTGCAGACGCTCAGCGACCGCGTTGATCAACGWCCRGTCGCCGTCGCCAAGGAATGGAAGATGCCGAACTTCAAAATTGAGAAGTTTGACGACTATCACAAGACCGATCCGCTGCAATGGTGGATGGCATTCAACGCAGAGGCCGACGTGCATCATACTCCGCCCCTACGCCGGCTGGATGCATTGTACCTCCAACTGATAGGCGGAGCGCAAGCATTCATGACACACATGGCCGCGACGCTTGAGTGTACCATCGCCACCCTCCACACGAAGATCACGTGCGAGGAGTTTGAGAAGAAATGGAAGACCCGGTTCATGGTGAACAATGACAAGCGTCACGCCTTGAACAAGATCTTCCACATCTTCCAAGGCCAGCAACCTTCGCGGGAATGGCTGACGGAGTGGCAAAGACTCGTCGCCACCCCGGAGTTGAACATACCGTTCGACTCGATCCGGGGCGAATTCTTTGCCCGATCCTGCGACGCCTTGACTGCTGCTCTCGGCAGCCAATACGAGTATAAGAACTTTGACGACATGATCGCCAAAGCCAGAGAGCTTATACAAGGTAACCGGCGTGTGGCTAACGAGACTCGTCAGCAGCCTGGTTACGTGGAGAAAGGAAAAGGTCAACGGACGCTGCAAGTAGCAGCAGTCCAGCAAGGACAAAGTGAGGACTACGCAGCCGCTTCGACATCAAGTGACGGAGATGTGGCGGCAGGGAAACCACCGCAACGCTCAAAACCCCGAGGGGGAAAACAGAAGGCGAAACCAGCGTCGGCGGATGGAGCACGACAGGCACCATGGACGAAGTTCGGGATTACCGAGGACATGTTCAAGTTGCGACAGAAATGGGGATGTTGTTTGTGGTGCAATAGCACCAAGCACATCACCAGTGCATGCCTCAACAAGGACAAAGAAAACATCAAGCGTCCTGGCTCGGGAAACTGAGCACCGCGGGAAGTGCAGTGACAACACTTCCCAGTCCGCCGGAGTCGGCTGCCTTGCTAGCAGCCTCTCTCACATCCGGGGACACCGCGACAGTCGCAAGTTCTCACGTTGAGTACGAGAACTATGCTGTCGAGCTGGTCCCACCGTTGAACCAGCCTCTCCACGTGCAAGATTCAAGCGTATGCGCGGCAGTTTCGCCGTCGGACAATGAACCGGTGGCTTCGCCAGCCATCTTATTGGAGGATCCGTCAACTTGGGCGAGACTTGAGGATCTCGATTTGAGGACTTCCAATGGTTGCCTCTGCCCTCCACCGGTTCTTTGCCAACTCCGCATTGCAATGCCTTAATGGCACATCTACGCAAATACTTGCACGCTGCAGTACCACCTCCGTCAACGGACGGCGGAGTAGCGGTTGTTGACCTTTGCAATTTTCTTGCGAAGATCGACCGCGAGTACGCAACGCAATGGTACGTCAACACCGACGCACCGCTCCTCTACATCCGCATTCAGATCGGAAAGGCGACCTGCAGTGCCTTGATCGATTGTGGAGCGACTCGCAACTACCTCAGCCAAGACTTCATGGCACGCGCCGGGCTAGGCCCGCGCGTCCGTTGGCTGATGGTCACACGCAAAAGTCAATCGACCGATGCGTTGACTCGGTGCCCGTGTACTTCGCCCCGCTAGCAAGCGAGGCCGTGTCCTTCGACGTATTGGACACCAAGTGCGATATGATCCTAGGCATGTCGTGGCTGCAAAGCAAAGACCATCCAGTGAACTTCCATCGCCGCACCGTTCACGTTCGTGATCGGCATGGCGAACTAGTCCCGTGTATGGTGCCGCTTCCTCATCCTTCGATTGGTTGTCACGTGGTATCCGCGGCGAGCATTCGCCAATCCATCCGGCGAAACGACATCGAGGAGATGGGCATATGTTTTCTTCACGCCCTCCCACGCGGTGATCAGCCCAAGACGGATACGTCGGACCCACGCATCATTGAGCTGTTGGACAGCTATGGGGATGTCTTTCAAGCTCCCACCGGAGTCATACCGGATCGGCCCATACGTCACGGGATCACTCTCGAGGACGGCGCCGTACCTCCGCGCGGATGTATCTACGGCATGAGCGAAGAGGAACTTCAAGTGCTTCGAGCACAACTAGACGACCTCTTGGCCAAGGGCTGGATTCACCCTAGATGCTCGCCATACGGTGCTCCCGTTCTCTTCGTCCGGAAGAAGAACAAGGACCTTCGGTTGTGCACCGACTATCGTAAACTCAACGCACAAACGATCAAGAACGCCGGCCCTCTCCCTCGGATCGATGATCTTCTCGAGCGACTCGGCAGCGCCAAGTACTTCTCCAAGCTAGACCTCAAGTCCGGTTATCACCAGATCGAGATTCAGCCAAGAGATCGGTACAAGACCGCATTCAAGACGCGGTATGGGCACTTTGAGTGGATCGTCATGCCTTTCGGTCTCACCAATGCCCCGACTACTTTCCAAGCGGCTATGACGACGAAATTTCGCGACTTGCTTGACCGCTCCGTTCTCATTTACCTCGATGACATCTTGGTTTATAGTCGGTTGCTGGACGAGCATCTCGAGCACCTTCGCGCCGTATTGGAGCTGCTTCGTATCGCCAAGTACAAGGCAAACCGCGACAAGTGCGAGTTTGCCCAGCAAGAGCTGGAGTACTTGGGCCATTACGTCACGCCGCAAGGCATTCGTCCGCTCGCGGACAAGTTACAAGCTATTCAAGATTGGCCGGACCTCAAGTGTACTACCGACGTCCGCTCCTTTCTCGGCTTGGCATCGTACTACATGTGCTTCGTCAAAGGATTTCAACGCATCGCTGCACCATTGTCACGACTTCAGTCCCCCTTGGTGCCTTTCGATCTCAACGACGAGGCCCGGCATGCGTTTCACACGCTGAAGACGACTTGCTTCAAGCTCCCATCCTAAGCATCTACGACCCGACGTTGCCTACCAAAGTGACTACGGACGCTTCCGGTTACGGCATTGGCGCGGTTTTGGAACAGCATGACGGCACAGACTGGCATCCGGTTGAGTATTTCAGCCAAAAGGTGCCGCCCATCAACACTCTTGATGATGTGAGGAAGAAGGAACTCCTAGCTTTTGTCTCCGTACTTAAGCGTTGGCATAATTTTCTCCTCGGGCGTCGGCGATTCACGTGGGCAACGGACAACAATCCGTTGACATATTACAAGACGCAAGACACGGTGAGCAGTACGATCGGTCGGTGGATGTACTTCATTGACCAGTTCGACTTCACCTCCAAGCACATTCCGGGCTCCTCGAACAAGGCGGCGGATGCTCTCTCGCGAAGACCCGATCTTTGCGCCATGGTACACTCCACGTTCGGCCTCGACGAGGACCTCCAACAACATTTCGTAAACGGCTACAAGTCGGATCCGGGATTCTCCACACTCTACGCGGACTTATCATCGGACCAACCGCCGACAAGCAACTATCGCATCACCGACGGCTACTTGCTCCTCCATACGCGAGGCAAGGACTTGTTGTGCGTTCCCCAGGACCGCATCTTGCGCACTCGCCTCCTTGGCGAATACCATGATTCGCGGCTGGCAGGACACCTTGGCGTCGCACGCACACTAGCACGAGTCCGCCAGCTTTTTCACTGGTCGGACATCATCAACGACGTCAACCGGTACATTCAGTCATGTGCAGTTTGCCACCGGAATAAAGGGCGCCATCAGCTCCCTTACGGCGAACTGAAACCATTGCCGATACCTCGGGCACTAGGTCTCTCCATTGCTATGGATGTGACCGGTCCTTTCCCTCGCGATCGCCTTGGTCATGATGGTATTCTCACGGTCGTTGACCGTTTGAGCAAGTACGCTCGCTTTCTTCCATGCAAGTATCATGCGACGGCTCCCGAGCTCGCACGACTTTTGCATACCGGCTGGTTTTGCAGCCACGGCGTTCCGGAAGACATCGTCAGCGACCGCGACACTCGTTTCATGTCGGCCTTTTGGACGACACTCATGGTGGAATCCGGCACCTGCATGAAAACGAGCTCCGCATGGCATCCTCAAACGGATGGGCAGACGGAATGTGCGCACCAGACTGCGCAGATGATGCTCCGCACACTCATCGCCCGGATCAGAAGGACTGGGTTGACCGCCTTCCCGACATCGAGTTCGCCTACAACACTTTGGTGCACCCGGCGATTGGTGTGACTCCATTCGAGTTGCACCACAGTGGACGGAAAGGACGTATCTTCGCAGACATTATGCTTCCACGGGCTGCCGATATCGACGCCGCTTGCTCCCCCGCTTCTACACGGAAGTACAGGGAACTGCTGGCCAAAGCCCGCGCTAACATGCAAAAGGCTCAGGTCCGTATGCAGCATCAAGCGAATCGGCGTCGCATCCCATGTCCTCACCTCCGAGGAATTCGCGCTCGAGCAGGACGTCTCGCGCAAGCTCCTCCCGAAGTGGTTTGGACCATGGATGGTCACTTCAGCAGCCCGCGGGTCCATCATTCATCATTGAGATTCCCCCGCATTTGACAGTACACCCGGTCTTTCACGCTTCAAAGCTGGCGGTTTACACTCCAGCCTCCGCAGCGGACTTCCCGGGCAGACGGTCACAGGACCCTCCTTCAATGGACGACCATCAGGAGGTCGACCGCGTTCTCACACATCACAAGCATGGCAACAAGCCAATGCAGTACAACGTTACATTCAAGCAATGCGATCCGAATGACACACGCTGGATCTCAAGAGCTGATCTGAAGGCATCAGCACCCCTCATCTTCGCGCATTATGAAAAACAGCGACTTGCTAAGGAAGCTGCCCAACCTGCCCGCCCTGTACGGACATCGGACAGACAGCTTCGCCCTCGCAGTTAGCTCGATCCTCGAAGGGGGGGAGTGTGTGGCATACTAAGCCACTCGGCCCCCAGTTAGGGCCCGGTTCCAAGACAGGCAGGGTTAGCCTAGGGGACACCGGTTCAGATGAGGCTAAAACGGGCCTGGACCACGGCGGTTCAGGCAGGCCCAGGCCGAACGGCCA